AAGGAATATGAAGAGAAATCGAGATGATGAGTTATCCTTTAGATTGTATGATTATCGCTAAAATTATCGAATTTGTTTGATACTAATCAACTACGTCAATGTAATCTAATATTTACGTATGATATTAAATTATCCAATTGCAAATTGACATTTCAAAAATGACGTACTTATTTCAATATATATATATATATATATTCACACACGTATGTGTAAAATTGTGCACGTATATTGCAATATCTTCTCGTACTGTCAAACACTTTGACTTTTGACTATTTAATATGTTAATTTTGACACAATAAATTACAATATATTTGACAGAATGAAAAAAACAATCAACAAAAGTTTCAAGTATAATTCTAAAAGCCGCCAAATGTACGTAGATTGATACTTAAATAATGGCAACTATTTATTCACAATCGATACAAAAGAGTTACAATGTTTGCACCTGTTACTGTACCTCAAAGTAGTCACCCCAGTGTTGTGTAGAACCCATTGCCAGCGATGTGGAAGGCGTAGTATACCATTAACAGAACTTGTTCTGTTGATGGTGTGAATGAAGCTGGTCTACTGCCATGTCTCATCCAGTGTTACGATATGGTGTAAGAAAACCTCTCATTCGTGCTCATAGCACTCCAAGTGCATCTGAGCAGCGTCGTAACGCATCCATTTCTGCATTTCCGTCAATTCATGCGAAACCCATCGTGTCATTCGCTTCAGAACTGTTCCAGAGATTCGACAGACAGTAGACCACCGTTCCATTCGCACCATCAACAATAACAGGCTCTACTAAAGGGTTCTAGGACAGTAACAGGTGCAAACATGTAACTCTTTAGTATCGGTTGTGAATAAATAAATAGTTGGCAACTATTTAAGTTCCAACCCCTACGTATATACTAATTAAATTAGGAACTAAATATCAATCGCTTATTTAATTTCGTTAAGGGGAACTTTAATAAAAATCCCTGTAGCAGCAGATGTTAGGAACAGTCTTTAGACTAAAGTGTCTTCCATAAGCCTCTACTGCGCTAAATAATGGCACATTTTCTTAAATTGCATCCCAAAAAGTTGTAATAAAAAAGAAAACACGCATTGTACTGTCAAACAAATACGTGATCAATGTTGTGGTGATACATGTGTAGACGATATAATAAAAAAATTCATTCATATATGTGTAAGTGAAAATGAAAATGAGATTTTTCCATTCACATTTTTTCTATTCGTCGTGTATTAAAAACGTCGAGTAGAAAAAGTGAGGACGAAATAATGGCTGAAATCTCTCTATTTATCTATTTTTCTTTCTCTCTTTCTCTCTCTCTCTCTCTGTCTCTCTTTCGTTAATTTTGCGTTGAAAGAAACACACACACACCACACCCACACAGAGGACATACAAACACACTGTTGGTATAAAACGTTATCGCGGTTTTTGACGTCACGCGATGAAATTTCAACAACGTTTTTATATCGCAAATATCGTTTCGCGAAACCAAAATGAGAAATGGGCG